CGATTACGTGAACATAGAACAGACTGGCACTAGTTAAGCCTTTCGGTGAGTTGACAAATGCTAAACCTTTTTATGTTGGAATTTAGTCAAGGTACGGCCACTTACTAAACTCTAATTTTTTTTTAATTACGAAGAATACTCACCCATTCCCATGATATGTTCTTGATCTGTAAACAATGACTATTTTAATCGACTGATACATTTATTTATATAAATAATTAAAAAAATATCACAAAATAGTTACCTACCAAGCGCAAACCTCGCTGAGCGAAGTCGTTAATTCATTATTATATTACCAAATATTTCAGTTGAGCATAATTCTTATTCATTTAGGTATTAATGGATTAATTATTATTAACAAATTAGTTAATCGATTTATTATTATTATTAATAAATTGATAAATTATGAATATAATAATTATTAATTAATGAAAAAATAAAAAAAAATACGCGTACTTACAAGTTATACCCGGGAGTTTGTCGAGTTTTGATGACATTAATGTAATTTGAAAAAATAATAATATTGTAGGTGATTTATTCGTTATAATAATAATAATTTAGCCTTCCAAATAGTACCTACTTATATGTACCTACTTACGTAGGTAAGGTAGGTATTTTAAAACTAAATAAAAACTTACCTGCCTACTTGACTGCCTCGTTGGCTGAGTGGTCGCAAATGCGACTGCCGGGCAAGGGGTCTCGGGTTCGATTCCCGTGTCGGGCAAAGTATTACTGGGATTTTAAAAATTCTCACTAGTAGCACGGAGTCTGGAATTGTGCCCGGTATATGGCAATAGGCTAACCTACTACATGGGACTCATAACATGTGGGTGTTACATTGTACAGTGGCATAATGTGCACCTCTGCCTACATCTTCGGGGATTATTGGCGTGATGTTATGTTATGTTGTGTAAAAACTTACCTATCTTATTTTCTAAATTATGCCGTAAATTAATGATTAATGAATAATTAATAAACATAGGTATAAAAACACATACATTATTTTTTTAAATAAAAACACTCACGGGGTATCTTTCCTCCTATTAATTCTTCCAAACTTGACAATTTTTCGCCGTAAGCTATAGATATTAATACATTATTGAAACATAATCTTTCTCAGAAATAAAAACACATTTTATTGTCGAATATTCATATTATAGTCACTGCTTATCGCCCATTGTCTCTACCTACAGAGACAATGAAAACACCAAACGCCAAGACTCTGGCACCTACCTTCGCTTATCTACATTCATGAACTAAAAGATAGAATAAGTGTGAGAGAGCCATGCTTCTGCACGAATGGGCCGGCTCGGCCGGAGTGATACGACGGCCTCACAGTAAACTGACATGAAACAACGCTTGCGTTGTTTTTCGTCGTGTGAGTGAGGTTACCTGAGGCCGAAGTACCCTCCCTCCCCAAACTCCCCAATCTGAATCCCTAGCAATCCTCAAAAAGCCGGTAACGCACTTGTAACGCCTCTGGTGTTTCAGGTGTCCGTGAGCGACGCCGATTGCTTACCATCAGGTGATCAGTTTGCTCGTTTATTGGCTTATACCAAAAAAAAATAACAGTTACATTTATTAAAAATACCTATGTCAACCTCTTTTACTCTCTGAGCTGGAATAAAATTTACGAATAAATTATAATTACGAGAGGAAAGTTATATACAGGGTGACTTGCAACTCGACGTATTCCTCTCGGGAGGTGATAATACAAATAGTTTCCTACAAAACCAGCCCTCCAGGTCTCCAGTTAGAAAGTGGCTAGTTTCTGAGATATTCGACTGCACGATTGGTGCGATGGCTGGACAACCGGCTGCCGTGCAACGTGTCGCGGGTTCGATTTCCGCACAGAACAACATTTTGTGTGGTCCACAAATTGTTGTTCCGTGTCTGGGTGTCATTATGTATGTGAACTTGTATGTTTGTAAACGCACCCATGACACAAGAGAAAATCCTAATCCGGGGCAACGTTTTTATTAAAGAACATCCCGATCTAACTACAAAATAATAAATAAATAAAAAAGTACTTGCTTGATTTACAATCACTCAGTCAATACACCAATAGACATTTATTAATACTAATGCACACAGAAGTATCATTCGTTTTAAAATAGCAAGTAAATTAGTATCAATCTTTGTTTTGAGTCATCACCATCACAGTTAATCACCTCCCGAGAGGAATACGTCGAGTTACACGTCGCCTGAGGCCTTAAGTACGAGTTTGTTTTACGTGTAAAGTAATCGTAACGAGTACGCGTTCGGCACTCTGATTGGCCGCCGCCCAATGAACCCACCAATCAGAGCGCCGAATGCGTACATACTCGTTACGAATACTTTAAATGTAAATGAAACTCGTACTAACTAAGGCCCCTGTATACATGTAATAAAACAATAAAAATATCGCGTCCGTACAAACAATATTCTTGAATATTTTGTTTTACACAACTAACCCGCATCGGCGTCATAATTTCCTTTACTTGGAGTTACTAGAAATATCTGAAAATACAATTAAATAATAAGGTAGGTAAACGTAACTAGGAATATAAAAGATGAATATAATTAACTTATTAAATGTTTCATTCAGAATAAAATGTACAGAAACTTCACCAAATACCCAGTTCATTAGGTATATAAAATAGAGCTTGGCAAGAAAGAATTTGGAATAATTGAGGTCACTAGTATCATACCTGTATACCTGTACCTGGTAAACTACAACTCAACCGGTTCTGATATTTGTTATTTTTAACAAGTTTAAAAAAGGGAGATTGTTCGGATGTTTATTTATCCATGGGATAGGGGCTGAACTGAAGTGGGTGATTTTCGTTCAAGCTGTTACCGCGTCAAACTCTTTTTTGCCAAGCTGTGTCCAGTTTTTTCTTCTTCTCCTCTGTAAGTGGGCTTGTAAAAAAACCTGTATCCAATTTGCAGATTATAAAAAATCTTACCAAAACACAGTAAACAGAATTCATAAAACGTATCCTGAGCTCCATTCTGTTTGAGAAAAGGAAAAACTAAAAACTACATATACATTATATTACTAGAAAAAGTTAAAACATAGTTGCCACAACAATGGCGAACAGTGGGTACGTTGGAATTAACCCATCAAAATATTTTATGACTTTATTCCGAGCTACCAATAAATTCTATCAATTTAATAAACATAAATAAAATGTATATTCGTAAATAATAAAACTATACCTCTATATAGGTGGACACGTGAACTATATTCCAAATCCCCAGCGGCGGAGTATTTAACGGTTGAAAGGCAGGAGTAGGAACGGGGTGGTTTTTAGTCAGTAAGAGTCTGACACTCCCTCCCGCCCCACCCTGGCGAGAGAAGTCATTCGATGAATTTCCCCCCCTAAAAAAACAATCCCCTAATATCTACCTACCTAACAGGCCGGTAATACTCGTAACTTCTTTATTCTTGTGGGGGCTTACCATCAGGTGAATCTATCTCCTATCTACTTATCTAACTATCATGATAGTAGTACAGTATAAAAAAAAAATTAAAAGCACTATTTATTCTGCTACCACCATCATAGTCTGAAGATAGGCTTTTTCATTAACATGGTACTACCAGACACACAACGGATATCATCATACCAGCTGGTTGAGTTACCCTATCGCGTCGCCACTCCGCTCCTATCTAAAATGATATTTACATAACATAACATCACGCCTTTTATCCCCGAATGGGTAGGCAGAGGTGCATATTACGGCTCTCAATTGGAATTAAGAGCAGAAAGTGCGTGTTACATTACACTCTTCACTATTTATGCTGAGTCCTATGTAATAGGGGGTGAGCCTATTGCCATATACCGCGCACAATTCCAGACTCCGTGGTACTACTGAGAATTTTATTTTAAAAAATCGAGTAATAATGATATTTACCTAAGTACCTACGTTAAAAAGAAATCCTATTGTTTAAGACCTCTTTTGGAGCTTTTAAAACTAAGCCAAGACAACGCTATGTGCGCTTCTCTTAAGTAAGAAGTAAGAAGTTCAGTTTGGGGACCGTAGTATTACTGTTCTCCAGCAAAGAAGTGAATAAATTTATCATTTTTAGGGACAGTACCGCTCATCAACTTATCAGTCACAAGCCGTGCTCCTGAACATGGACCTTTCTCAATGACTTCTACGTTAAATATACTTAGACACAGTACCTATTATATAACCCGTAATGCTATATTATATCCATAAGCAATCCGATCTTAAACCTATGGAGTTTCTTGCTCGTTCTTCTCCATAGGAATCTACACCTTGGAATGAGCAAATAGCTTCACTTTTAATATTATTTTTATTTTGACGTTCAAAAGTGCCATTCTGGCCTAATTGAAATAAATGATTTTGACTTGACTTAAAGGACATGATATCACCGGGACACCAGGCGACTACCTCTATAGAGCTGTATCCATTTTGTTGGTAGCAGCAACTGCTTGCGTTAAGCCTTTAACTGCCGACAAAAACAGTTAAAGACCAATCCTCAAACTCCTAATCCCCAAAAAGCCGGTGACGCACTTGTAACGCCTCTGGTGTTCCAGGTGTCTATGGGCGACGCCGATTGCTTACCATCAGGTGATACGTCCGCTCGTTTACCGGCTTATGCCATAAAAAAAAATCCTCCACTAGCGTCGGTCATCACTGTCCGACACGGTATCCAATGTGTTAAGCAACCAATGTGGCGGCGATCCACCACCAGCTCGGATAGCATTAGATGTCACCTTGATATTGTCGCAATGCAGTGTGCTGACTCTGGTGACTGTATGATGTCTAGTTTGCTAGCTAACGGACACCACGGTGACGCGGCCCTTAGAGTGCCGCGTCAGTCACCGGTGCCTGAAGCACTGGACGTTTGATTTTCACCATATTAAACTGTCAAATACCAAGCGGTCACCGGTGACCGCAACCTATTGTTCTATAATTGTGTCTACAAAACCGGTACTCGACGAGTTAAACTTGGCAGTTAAAATATTAACATTTATTTCTTGTTTCAGCACCATGACCATCACCACGAACACCACGAGCATCACGACCATGGCAACGGCAACCATGATCACGGTGATCACCATCATCACGAACCTGGCATGCCCTTCGACTTCTCCTACCAGGTCTGTCTTCTTGAATATCCAATAAAGAATACGGGCTTTTTTAACTTTTAACCGACATAAAACATATCTGCTTCGCTTCATTTTGATACTTTCATCCATGTCTTTAGCTTGCCATACACGCACAAATGAGCCTGGCAGATCTGCCTGAACCTGCTACCTAACGATTCAATCAATTAAATGTGTCTGTGGCGAAAAAATTGCAACACACAGACTTTACCCGTCAAATACTTGTTCAGGCAGATCTGCTGGGCACATCCGTACGTGTATGGCTAGCTTTTTATGTCTTCATGTATGCTTGTTGATTGAGTGCCCCATATAACGTTTTATCTGCCAATACCACTTGTTGAGTATGAAGCCACTTGGTCGACAATTACACTTGCATACGAGTGGTCACTCGATCAATGAGACCAAATAATGCATGTACATTCAATTCTATTTTCTGCCATCAGGTGGCGGAAGATGGCAATGATTACAGCCACAATGCGATCTCCGATGGTGACATAACCAGGGGAGAGTACAGAGTGGCCCTGCCCGATGGTCGTACCCAGATCGTGAAATACACAGCTGACTGGAAGAACGGTTTCAACGCAGAGGTTAGTACCGCTACTTGATAATACATAGATGGCGCTGTTTTCAAATTGTTTGACAATTGCAAGTCGATTTATGAATAAAGAAATTAGCTAATAGATCGGAAATATTTTAGTTTAATATTTATTTAGCCTATTTAAAAAAAAAACTATATTTTATACTGTTATTGGAAATTTTGACAGTTACGTTTGTGACTAGACATACTTAGAAGAAAATGTTTAAAACACATGATATATTTTTCTTCCAGGTTACATACGAAGGTGAAGCGAGGTACCCTGACCAGCCAGCTGGCGGTTACGGCAGCGGCAGTGCGTCAGGAAACGGTTACGGCAGTGGAAGCGCATCCGGCAACGGTTACAACAGTGGATCCGGCAGCACTGGTGGCCAAGCTTACGTACCACCCAGCCAAGGAGGCGGCTACCAATACTAAACAAAACCCCCAACGAATACGCAGGTTTACAATGAACTGAAGATTTTATTTCTTACTAAAATTACGCGAAAGTTGTAACTGTAGTCGATTAATTACTAATGGAACGATCCCCTCTCTACATCTGTCACTATGACAGTTATAAATACATGTTTCGTGTGAGGCACTGGAACGCTTTTCAAATGCCTAACTCGATCTTGTCGAAATGTGATCATGGAACCACATGACAATAAATTCGCGTAATATTAGTCTGAAATATTGTGTCCAACACGTCTGTTAATAAATTACCTTGTAACTGCTAATATTCTTTAAAACATACAAGATTTTAATCAACCCTTTATTTACAAAATGGCATGCCTACAATATCACGAAAAAGTCGACTAAAGAGTCTGATTGAAATCCTGTGCGTCGTAAAGATTTTATTAGTATAATTGTTTTTAATATAATACCTTTTTATGTTAAGTTAGTATTTTATTAACATAGTTACCGAAATATAGTTACCAATTGTTATAATTAAATATATTTAATATTAAAATTTACTTCAGTGGCAGGTAATCAATGCTACAAAACTGGGCAGATGACCTTGTATTTCCTTGTTTTCCCATAAATATATACCTACAATTATTCATTTTTATTACCTATAAAGAAATCTAGCCATATGTACCTAGTTGAATTAATTTATGAGAGTAGGTACATAATGTTTACTGCTAGTTTTACATATTTACCTATTTTATTACCTGTGTAGCTCTTTAATGTAAAATAGTATAACTAAATAATAATACCTTTTGTATTATAAAAAAGGAAGCTAGAAACCATATTGTGATGTTTAAAAAAAGACAAAATTGCTTGTAATAGTTTTTAATTAATAATACTCATTACACTGCCGTATTTTGTATATTTATTGTATAGGATAGAGGAGTAAATTTGACAAATCATTGTTAAAATATGAAATGTCCTTTTGTACCTTATTTTTTTATAAAAATAAATGTAAGCTACAGTTATTTATGTTGTTTTAATACTCTTCAAAATAAGAATTAAGAAAATCTTCAAGCAACAACCTTCATATCTACATCTACACTTTCAAATAGTTACTTACTGACTGGTCAAGATCCAAGTGGTCACTGGTGACCGCTTTCCACTAAAGCTGTTATAGACCTTATTTCCGATGATGTTTAGAGACTACTTTTGTATGAACAAATGTTGTGGATTTTTCATAATCGGACATTTACGAGTAAAATATGTTACAGCCAAAGTGATTAATTTAATATTATTGATAATAACTGGAGAATATACATAACATCTAGAGAATTTAGCCAAACTGATAAATGAAGCAGAATTAATCACATTAACTAGCTATTATGAATTATATCTTCGGAGACTTGGATAAAGTAATAAAACAAGCAGGTGTAAATAAACAGGGCTGTTTTGCGATACGGAGCGGCGGCTGAAAGGATTCTCAATATGAGACCTTCTGCAATAAGTAGTATTTTCGATGCAAGACGTTCTACATTGTTTTCGAGGATGGTGAAACCGATGGTGCTATCAAAATGTAAATCCAAGATGGCGGCTGTACGAAATTTTCAATATATAGTCATGGATGTCGTTAGTTGAAAAGATTGTTTCTGTTTGGAAACACAACCTAAACTTGTTATTAAAAATTAAAAAGTCACTTGTCACAATAGCAACGTTAATTGCGAACTTTGATAGCCGACTCTCTTCTTTTTTCGATGAAATGTGTGTGTGATTTTCTGTGATCGCTGTAGGAATAAATAAATCTACAGAAATCTCCATCGTATTTTTCATTTATCACGCTAATTTCCAACATGGTAGCAGAGCGTGGTTGGTAAAAGTGCATAGGTACTCATATTTTGGCAAGATACTTGATACTTGGAATAATTGACTGCACGGTTGGCGCGGTGGTTGGGTAACTGACTGCCGCGCAACGTGTCGCGGGTTCGATTCCCGCACGGAATAACTCTGTGTGATCCACAGATTGTTGTTCCGGGTCTGGGTGTCATGTGTATGTGAACTTATATATTTGTAAAGCAGAACCCAAAGAAGATTGAGAAAGAATTGATTGAAGAAAAAGTTTGACAAAGCGTTGGCGCGCATTATGCTTTCCGTGACACCGGCGGTAACAGTTCCCGTACAGCGAAGAGTGCACATGATGCGTGGAAAATACTGCAAAAAGCCTACGAGAGACGTGGCCTGAGCAGAAGGCTAGGTTTGCTGCGTAGTCTCTTCAGTACTAAGCTATCGTAAAATAGCTCAAAGGAAGTCTATTTGAACAAAATAAAAGAGATTTCACATCAACTCAATGAGATTGAATCGGCCCTTGACGACGAATTCGTTGCAGTTATCATGCTAGGTGGGCTCACAGATGACTACGACCTACTAGTCAAGGTGATTGAGTATTCAACTACCAAACTGTCTACAGATATCATCTCAAAAAAAATACTACAGGAAACCCAAAAACGGGAAGAAAAACTGAAGAAACAGCACTCATCACACAGAAACAACCAAAGTGTTTCGGTTTTGGTGCCAGACGACGTATGATAAGGAACTCTCCGAATAAAAAATAAACAGGCAAAGTACAAAATCAAGAGAATGGCCCAGAAAAATCCAGTGAAAAATTCAGCGAGGAACAATAAGGCCCTTCTGGCAGCTCTCTCGGTAAAAGTTAATAGTGACGCCCACGTCACTAGTGTCTATGTACCCCAGTACATAGACTCTGGAGCGACAAACCATATATGCAACAGTGAAAAAGAGATGGTGAAGTGCAACCGTATTAAATTATATCCATAGATGTAAGAATAGCATACGGTGAAATCTTATCAACCGCGGGCTTAGGAGTAGCGCAGATTAATTTCGAAGACTGCGTAAGGGCAATAAGTGATGCGTATTATGAGCCTAATTTAAGTCCAAACCTGTTATCTGTCAGTGCTATGACCAAAAAGAGATATGTTGTCACTTTTAATAGTAAATCATGTGCTATTTATGACAATGATAAAATTTTAGCTACTGGTACTCAAGTTAATGGTATCTATCAGCTTGATACAGTGTCAGACAACGGCTGTGCTGTTTGCTGTGTGTCAAGTGCTGCCACAGATGCCATCATAGTAATGGTGATGAGATAAAGTAATGATGTCATCAACAGCAGTGGACTCATCATCCCAGGAGTTGTGGCACAGACGTCTCGGCCACCTAAACAATCTGAATTCAGATGTAATTCAGCAATCAGAGTCATCTACTGTGAGTTCTGATGTTTCTGATAACATGAGATTATCACAGAATGAGCCAAGAATCAGCATACACACAATAGATTACTCTGAGAGTGAAGACCTAAGTGTTGAAACAGAGCTTTGTTCGGATGAAACATATATTCCACGTGAAGCCCTTAATTTAGACACCTATAGTTAGGAGTATAATTCATTTATTAAAAATACCTTTTGGAATCTAACAAAACGTGACCCAGGCCAGAAGCCCGTTCAATGTAAATGGATTTTTAAAAAGGAAGTATGGTGTTGATTGTGAGCTATTGAAATTTAAAGATACCAAGATATCTTTTCACCGGTAGTGCGGTACTCAATAATCAGAATGCTGCTTGCAATGGCAGCAGAGTATAATTTAGACATTGAACACCTGGATGTGAATGTTTCAAGGTCAAAGGGGGAATGAAGAAATTGTATATAAGCTTAATAAGGCTGTTTATGGACTTCAACAGGCATCTAAATCTTGGTATGACAAGGTTATCAAGATTCTATGTAACAAGGTGAAGTTTACCCGCTTATCTTCCGAGCCCTATGTTTACTCTCAGAGTGAAAATGGATGAATGATGAATGGCTTAGGGGAAGTGCAGATTCATTTAATTTAATTAATTTAGGTGCTGTCAAAATGTAACGGTTTTCCCACCCTCGAAAACCATGAAAACGAAACCAATAACGATAACTTGAAAATTTCGTGCAGCCGCCATCTTGGATTTACATTTTGACAGTACCAACGGTTTTACCACCCTCGAAAACCACGAAAACGACACCAATGACGATAAAATGAAAATTGTATGTAGCCGCCATCGTGGATTTAAATTTTGACAGCACCATCGGTTTCGAAAACCATACGACCTAAACCCATGATGAAAAGTTAAACATTAAGCAGCGACGAATTTTGACTCAGCCGCATTCATTACAGCTAGTCAACCGTGATTTTCAACGCCGCTCACAGTTAATGTTAGGGCCACACTAACGTTGAACGTGAATGTCCATTATCGCGATAATTAATGGCATTTCCCGTTGGTGTGGCCCCGGCATTAAACTATAATCGTGATTGGGCCGCTAGATCGTATAATATATCTGGTTAAAGTGATTAATTTATCACAATGACTAAGCAATTTGGTTATTGTGTTTAATTACCAGTCATTATGAATAATATGAAATTAATCACTTTGGCTGTAACAAATACATAATTTATTAATACTCATTCAATTGTCTGTGTGTATATAACACACATAAAAAGAAACTGTAAACAACTAATTGCTAATTTGAAAAAAAATTGCAGTACATATATATTAACATACAATTTAACTTATCTTAATAAATTAAGGAATAATATTTAACATGTTAGCTACCACTCATGGTGACTGGCGTTAGGGGAGGATTTGCCTTCAACAGTTAACTATCAATAGCCAAAGTCTTAATACAATAATCGGGGGTTACTCATGTGGATATACTGAGAAAAGCTCCATTAGTTCTGAGTCACAGAGGGGCTCTTCCTCATAAGCAGCGTGCGCAGTCGCTGCGATGTCGCACAGCCGACGCATTTTTACTATTTTTGTTTATTTAGTATTGTCTCACGATAGTTATTATTAAAACAATAATTATGATTATTTTATCAACCTTATAACTTGCAATTCAGTTTGATTATCTTTTAACTTAAGTACATAATTTTCAGCACCGTGAACATGTTTTAAATGAGCATTTAAATCCTTTTTTAGGCCAAACTTTTTATTACAGACTAGACAACACTCAGTCTTTTCTAAATGCTTTCGTTTCATATGTTCAAGTCTCCGGCCTGAGGTAATAAACTCAGCTCCACAAACATCACACTTAAAAGGCTTTTGGCCGGAATGTATCATTAAATGTTCCATAAGGGTCTTCTCATTCAAAAATGTATCGCCACAGATCTCACAAGTTTTATCTTTAACTTTTTCATGAGTAAGAAAATGCTGAGTCAAATGGCTCTTTTTATAAAAACCTTTTTGGCAAATATCACAAATGTAAGGTCTTATGTTTAAATGAATTTTATTTATGTGAGCTTCTAATGTGTTTTTATTCAAACTTCTATAGTCGCAGCTGTCACAGGTGTAGTATTTGATCAGTCTCTTTCGTTTAGTTAGAGTGCTATGGTTTTTTAAATGTAATTTGTAATGGGAATGAGATTTGAGAATTTTAGAGCAATATGGACATTGCTTTACTTTATGGCAGTTTAGATGAGCTTTTAAAGCTGAACTTCTATTAAATACTTTCCCACATATATCACAGATGTTTGCTTTATTAGTGTTCTTATGGGTCATTTTAAAATGTCTTTGTAGTAGCACTTTAGAATTGAATTTCATATCACATTCGCTGCATTGCAAAGAACTTAATTCCTTCTTAGGTTCTTCCATTAAACTTTCAAAAGTTGGAATATTTACTTTTATTTTATATTTCTTGTTCACTCTTTCGTTTTCTTTTTTGTCTATTTCCTCATTGATGTTATCAACTAATTGATTGATTATTTCAGATTTGAAACACTGTCGTTCTAATAATGTAAATATCTTGATGATCAAATTGAAACAAGTTTCACAAGCTTGTGGTAGGAGTAGGTCCTGAAAGACAGACATTTTTATTCGAAAATATCCTGCTTTGTAATGTAAGTTTTGTCTCTAAATAATATTGGTTTGCAAACCGTTAATTTTACTTACGTGTGTCGGAAACAACTTTTCCATCATATTTCGTAAAGTTAAATTTAAATTTAGATATTCGTCATGAATTTCTATACTTTCGTGTAAACCTATCATGTTTTCACAATGTTTAAAACATAACAAGCACGTACTTTTAATTATTTGTTGGTCTATAAGAATATGTAACATTTCCATTGTTATTTATTTAAATTTTTATTTACAAAAAAATAACAACCTGATAATATTTTAATTATTGTCATTTTCATTTGACATTTTATTTCATAATTTTAGAGACCGACACTATAATTCAAACTAAAATTGATTTTGAATCGACTACTCTACTAAATTGGTTTTGTACAGTTGGCAACCCGTGCATTTCGCGCGTCTATGGGCAGATACAATATACGGCGGGATCATAGCGAACTTGATTGAAGAAGCAAGCATTCCATGTCAGTGTTTTTCAAAAAATGAACCATTATGTATCTTGTGTTCTTTTTGTGGGACTGGGTTTTACCGAAATACACGGAATTTAGATTTCTATTTAAATAGTTTAAATAGCCTGCTTCGAAAACATAATAAAAAATCAACATATGCTTCAACGTCATAAAATATTCGGTCTGTCGGAGAAGCTAATTTTATGGACAGAACAAGAAAGAATCTGGAACGTGAATGAGAAAAGTAAGTCATCCTTTCAATAAACATTGGATTTTCTATCATTTTTATGTGATAAACTTCAATAATTTCACCCATCTAGTGAATTTTCTATTATTAGATTAGGCTTCAATTACGAATTACGCCATTTTGTCCTGCAATTTGCATACGTAACATAACCTAGAAATTGGTAAAAACGTAATTTTAATCATAACAAACAAGACTGGGCACTGAGGTCAGAAATGTTAGCATTTTAAGCACTAAAAGTTTCATCAAAGTTATAATATCATGCATCGCACGAAGTGTAAAATCGGGAATATGCTTAAAATTGTTGAAATATTATAAATGTGACATTGAAAAAGAAGGATTCTGCGTTTGAAATCGACCTTTGAATTTGATGTTAATGTTTGTGTGAATGAGAACTCGTTTTGTTAGAAACTTGGAATGATATGCATCTGTTCACTAAATACGAATTACATTTTTATCCTAATATAATATTACCTATACCTATAAAATAGGTATGCGAAAGTTTGTATGTTTGTTTGTTTGTCCTTCACTTCAAAACGTCTAAAGGTATCGGGATAAAATTTACATGATGTTGATGATTCACCAATGGTAATTTTATCCATCCAGGATTAGGGGTAGATTATAGATTAAAATAACACATAGCCTATTTTTGTCCTACCAGAACACGGGTGAAGCCGGTGATAGAAGCTAGTTCAGTAACATAAAAATGTACCATTTATTAATAATTAGTGACTTTTATTATGTTGTCAACCAGCAGTCAATTATTAATAATAGCCATTTAGCACAGAGTTTTTTTTACCAAATACTTGAATAATAGGTACTTAGATAAATTTATTTAGAAATTAGAACTTTTCTTGTTTCAATCCCTCTATTTACTCCCTGAAGTGCTTATATTGCAGTTGAACTAGACTCTATACAAAGGAATATTTAATATAATATTTATACCATAACATAACATCGTACCTTTTATCCCCGTACACAGCCACTGTACAATGTAACACTCAATTTTCACTATTTATGTTAAGAGTGTATGTAGTAATAGGGGGTGAGCCTATTGCCATATACCCAGAATTTTTAAAAACCCAGTAATTCTTTGATTTTTTATGTTTGTAAATATTCTACAATATAGGAGTTTTACATGTCCGGACAGAATCGGTAAGCTAATAGAACTTATTATATTTTAGAGATAATGCAAGATGGCAGATACAGTGAAGAGTGAAGGCACAGATAATTTGGATTGGATAAAGGAGAAACTCCAGACAGTATGGACAGCTCCAAAGTTCTGTGGTCTGTGTCTAGAGAACAGGGGCAACTTCTCTTCTGTGGACATGGAATTTATGATCGGCCGCCAAACGTTTTCAAAATGTCTTCAAGACATTTTGAACTATGTGTTCAATGAAGATGTAAGTTTTGATTGTTAATAAGTTAATCTATCTAATTAATAATGAGCTTTGATTATGAAATCTTATATATAATAATTTTTAAACTTTCTAAACACTATGGCCCATAGTGCCCTCCATTTCAACACTGATAAATACTTCAATTTTTGTTTTTCAGATTGAACATATAATGTCAAGTCACTACTTATGCGATGGCTGTACCGAGAAGACGATACAAGCATATCTCTTCATGCACAACACAAGACAGTTGACAAAAATACTCAACAACTGTGTCTCGGACATTTATTCCAAAGTTGTTGATGTCAATTCACAGCTCGATGAAACAGTCACTACTGATGCTGCTAACGTAATGATTGTACTAGAAAATGACACAGAATTATGTAAAACAATCATCGATGTCCATTCTATGACCGAAGTCATCCCCACAGCAACCCATGTTCCTATGAAAGTTGAACAACCAGTGGTAAATCAACAGCCGAAAATTGTTCAAGTCACTAATTCACCAGTTCTGATCAAACGAAATTCGGAAGAAATCAAACATGAACCACAACCTAAAATCAGGAAAATTTCAAAACCTGATGGCACACCGAATATAAGTTTGAAAGAAGGTCACATTGTTATAAAACCTTTGAATTCAGTTCGCAATATAGCACCTAGATACAATACATATCAATGCATTCACTGTCCGGACATATTCACCTCGTACAGGTCCATGAAGGAACATGAAAAGGCCAAGCACAAAAAGGCTGTGTTCCGCTGCAACTTATGCGATAAGTCCTATAATACGCAACAATACTTGAACATTCATTATAAAACGCATGAGAGAGCTCGATGCAAACTCTGTCAGCTTATACTGCCAGAAGAAGAATTAATGGATCATTTGAAAGCAAATCATGCGAATTTGGTGTATCCATGCAAGTTTTGTGATTTAGTGTATTATACCCAGGAGTCTCTGGACACTCATTTCAAGATTACCCATCTAGTGAATGATACTAAGGCGAAATCTCAATGTGTCATGTGCTTACGTAACTTTGTTGAAGCCGAGTTAAAGAAACACAAGTGTAAATTTTCTTGCTCTGAGTGCTTTGTAATGCCGTGCGTACATTTCAGATATTTGAATTCTTATAGGGAACAAATCTTAAATCATGTGAATAAAATCAAATGCATAGATTGCGATTATGTGACGCGAAGGAAGGAGCATTTAATAGGACACGCGAACAGGGAGCATTTAGACCATCATCCATTTACATGTGCTGATTGTGGCCAGCAGTTTTACACTAAGTTAAGTTTGAAGACCCATATTGTACAGTTCCACGAAGATCTGTTCTGCCCGTACTGTGACTTTGAATTCAAAGATATGAGGACTTTGGAAAGCCATAAAAGGGCGTGCAAACTTGTCATACGGGCATTCACGTGTTCGCAGTGTGAGGCGTCATTTGACGTGGCTGAAGAACTGACTAACCATGAGAATCTGAAGCACAGCGAAGTTGTCTACGCATGTTCGCTTTGCAAGAGCAGATTTTTGACTGATTTAGAATTGCGAGAACATCGCGCAAGAGTTCATGGGGGCATTCAATGCAAGAAGAGAAGGAAACACATTGAATGCTCGCTGTGCAACATTATGTTCAAAAGTATAAAAGAAATGTTAGAGCATGAAAAGTCACATGACGAAAACGATGTCTATCCATGCAAAGTCTGCTCCAAGAAATACAAAACGTTAATGAAGTTATACATTCACAATCAGAGGCACTATACAGACAGGGTGAAATGTGATGGATGTAATAAGCGGGTGGCTGCGTCTTTCTATCCACAACATGCAGTCAGATGCCCGTATGCAAGGGAAACAACATTGGGTCATGTCTGTGAAGTATGTGGCAAGTCCTTCCATCTAGAATCATTATTAAAATTACACCAGAAGGTCCACATGGACCCAGAACCATGCCCTCATTGCAACAAGGTTATAAAGCCTGCTAGCCTAAAGAAACATATGGAGCAGTTTCATGGAGAATCTCCAAAAGAGAGGCCTGCAGGCAGAGTTGTCATTGAATGTAATCTATGTGGACATGTAGTAAGAAAGAAATGTGATTTAGAGGCTCATATGAACCGATATCACTTGAAAATTAAACCATATGTCTGTCCAATATGTTCTAAAGATTTCTGTGGCAAAGTGAGATTGAAGGAGCATATAGCTACCCATACATCTGATAATAATTGCTTCTGTTCAATTTGTGGAAAGAAGTTTGCGAACCGTGTTTGTTTGAAGATGCATTTCAGAATGCATACTGGGGAGGCGCCTTATTCTTGTGACATTTGTGGTCAGAAATTCAGGTCTTCAAGTATGATGAAGACTCACAGATTAAAGAAACATTTGGAGAAAACAGTCAACTGTCCATTATGCGACAATATGTTCTTTATGGCGCGCGATATGCGACATCACTTCAAGAAAGCGCACTGGAAGTTCAAAGATGGCAGGCCATTTAATCCCAGAGATGTTGAGGAGTTGCCAAAAGAAATGTATTATCTATTTGAAGATGGGAGACTGCCGAAAATAACTCCAGATCAGTGATCCTAGTGTAATTATTAGTTCCTTTATTTTTATAAATTAAATATTATGGAATGTGTATTGTACCTCCTTAATAGGTACCTGTTATGGGACAAAGACAATCAAATTAATTTTAATAGAGATAGAGAAAGAACCAAAAAAGGTTTGGAAGACTGAGAATTGATATGATAAATGATTTCGGCCTTTAAGGACTCTATAATTTTGGGCTTAAAGCAGAAAGTTAAATACAAATAGGATATTTTGTAATTATGTGAAACATGTTTTAGTGTTTTATTTTTTATTGTATAATTTAAAAACTGCTTGATGAATTAAAATTGTTATTGGTAAATATAAATCGATTAGGTTACGTCATCACAAGATGAAACTTTTATGTTTATAATTTCTATCTTTTATGTTGTTGTTTACGTCTTACCGAGTATACTAAATTGTGCATAATAAAAACAGGCAATGGAGCTACACACAAAATATAGCATTTATTTCTACATACCTATTGTTATAAATAGCATAATAAAATAATCATGTTGCTAAAAGAAAATTATTCAGTTTTTTTTCTCTTTTTCGCGAATTAAAGTTGTTTTTGACTGCATAATTGCCATTTGTGTTAATTATTTTTCAATATTTTCAAATACTTTTTTACGGTAAAGAAGCATTATTAATATTTTAAACAATAAAAATTTTAATTTTACTTAAATTCGAGTTTTTTTTATAATGAACCAATACCACGACATATCAAGATACCCCTAAATAATTATAACATCACGCCTTTTGTGTAAGTGCATAGTTTACACAGAGTGTGTAACGCTTACCTACCTACTCTTCGCCAGTTATGTTGTGAGTTCCGTCAGTTACATGAAAAAGGCACAGATTATGGAATTATGTAGGGTAACCAGATAGATAGACCTGCCTTGGGGGATCATAGGAAACACCACAATTTCTCAAAGTTATAGCAAGAAAGTACGTATAAAGTTGTCGATTAAGGTTGAACGGTGATAATGTGTCTAATTTACTTTACATACACGAATTTGAAAACGAGATTAAAAGACTGCTATTATCAGTAACTTAACGAATAAAAATAAAATAGATAAACATAATGTAACTAGAATCTGACATTTATTCACATTACTCTTGTCTCTCTCTATCGTTATTGCTTTTGGCAATACAAACAAATGAAAAAGTCCCAATGTCAGTATTGCCAGCTATATACTGAAAAACTTTCTTTTGAATGAATGACGCCGCGTTCTATTTTTGGCAAATTTCTTCACACAGAGACACAGACGTTTTCCCTATCAACTATAATTACATGCTCTGTGCTATCAACAATAAAGAAATCATGAATATCCCCATGGGAGACTTGCGTGAGGTTATGTAAATAAACCGATATAATTTTTATTTACCTTAAAAAAAGACGAAAGACATAGTGTTTATTATTATTTTTTTTGTATTGTAACTGTTGTCATTTGTTTGACACTCAACAATCCTTGGCAAATATATCGTACCAATGTCGTACTAATTCGTAAGTAAATTCTTAAATGTTTACGTAGTTTCTAATTTTTTACAATACATTTCATCTGAATTAGCTACAGTTTACACACAAAATTAGACGTACACATATTAAGTAAAAAAAAGTACCTAACATAAATAACCCCAACATAAAAATTCTGACCTTTCAAATCAAAATGTCAAAAAAACGTAAACAAATATTCATTTTAACACGAATTTTGATTTTAGGGGTAAAATAGTTGGAGAAAATGGATAACTACAAGTTAAAAATCAATAATATACTCCACGACACGCAATATTGTGGAATATGTTTTGAAAATGATACTATGAGTATAAATGCGATAGATGAAGATTTCGAAATTAAAGTAAATCAACAAACTGAGATAAAATCTTTGAGAACTTTTATAGAAACTGTGTTTAGGGAGGTAAGTCTGATAGTATTATTTATTATTCTATATTAGTGTCTTGTCTAAAGAATTGAGTCAGAATAACTGACCAGGATCAGTTTTTTTCTTATTGGAATTGTTTCTTTTAGAACTCTTTGTTTAAAAAAACTATTTTGTTAATTTTACATTAATCTTATTATAAGTTTCGGAGCTTAATATTCTTTCTATTTCAGACAGAGGTAGAGGCCATATCAACAGCATCATTCATATGCAACAACTGCACAGAAAAACTGGTTGAAGCATACATTTTTATTGAAAATGCAAAAGAAACATTTAAGATAATTAGCAAATATATTAATGATCTGTTTAACAAATCAAATGATATTTTAAGCCATATTTCAGACTTTCATAATGAAAGTACAAATATTGTGATTGTATTAGAAAATAATACTGATAATGCCATACAAGAAAAAGAAATTAATTCCACCACAAAGAAAGATGAAGTTGAAATAAAAGAAGTAATAGCACCAGAGACAATTTGTTCCAAATTCAAATGTGCTAACTGCTTTTTAGTGCTACCTTCTTTTAAATCATTAAAATTACATAAAGAAGAATGTGGGAAACAGACATCTTGCAAACAATGCTCTAAGATATTTCAGAATAAGAAATTACTAGTAGCACATAACGAAATGCACTCAAAAATCAGATGCAAGTTTTGTCATGAAATCCTACAAGTGAACCAACTAATGGACCATTTGAGCGCTAATCATAGAGAATCTTTACACAAATGTCTTACATGTAATGAAGTATTTTACACCACAAGGACTTTACAAAGTCATCAACAAAGCTGTGAGTTTGACAAAGAAAACCAATGCTTAATGTGTTTAAGAACTTTTGATGAAGAAGAACTAAGTTCCCATACTTGCAAGTTTCGCTGTACCGAGTGCTCTGAGGTGCCCTGTATACATTATAAGTACTTAGTTTCTTTTAGAGAACAGATTTTAAAAAATACTGGCAACGTCAAATGTTTGCATTGTGGGTATGTTTGTAGAAAAAAAGAGACTTTACTTGGCCATGTAAATAGAGAACATTTGAACCACAATCCGTTTATTTGTGATCAATGTGGACAGCAGTTTCATTCGAAAATGGCCCTTATCTCTCACATACAAAGGTTGCATGAAGAGTACTTTGTTTGTCGGTTTTGTGATTTAGAGTTCTCTAATCAAGGAATTTATAAAGCTCATGTGCAATCGTGTGAAAGTACGAAAAGAGGTTTTGCTTGTGACACGTGTCCAGCTTCTTTTGATCTTTTTGAAAGTGTATCGGAGCATAAAAAACGAAGACATGGTACAGAGGTATTTCCCTGTAATATTTGTAATAAACAATTTGTTAGAGAATCAAAAAGAAATGAGCATATGGTTAAGGTCCACAGCAATCTTCAGAATGAATTAAATAATATAGACTGTGTTGTGTGCCAAAGAAAATTTTATTCTAAAGGAGAATTAGTCCGTCATATGAAATCTCATGGCCCAAACACTATGTATCCGTGTAGGATATGCAACACAGAGTATGACACTCTGAGACAGTTTAGAGCTCATAATCGCATACACAAGGGACCATTCACAACATGCCATATATGTGGTAAAGAAATGAGGGAGATTCTGTTAAAAAAACATCTACGCACACACTCAGATACTATAGAAACCTGCGACACTTGTGGTAGGTCGTTTGAAAACATTACTCTACTAAAATACCACCAAAGAGTCCATTTAGAAAGTGTACCTTGTCTCAAATGTAAGAAGATGGTCAACCCGGCCAGTTTACGGAGACATTGGAAGAGACATTTGATTCAAGAGAATCCTAGTCTAAGAAGAATTGAGAAAAAGCAACCGAATTTGAAATGTGAACAGTGTGACTATAAGACGTGGAATAACACTCTTCTGGACTGCCACATGAACCGACATCATCTTAAAGTGAAGCCATATGTGTGCCATATATGCAGTAAAGACTTTATCGGTAAACATTTGCTCAAGAAACACATAGAAACACATGATATGAAGAGTGTGACCTGCATGGTGTGTCTAAAAAGTTTTGCCAACTCAATCTGTTTAAAAATGCACTTACGTCTGCATACAGGAGAGAAACCGTTTACTTGTGAAATTTGTGGTGACCGGTTCAGGTCTTCGAGTATTATGAATGTGCATAAGCTTAAGAAGCATTCAGATAAGAACAATTTTTGTCCGTTGTGTTCAAATAAGTTTCATACTGTTAGGGAATTGAGAAGACATGTGATCAAAGTGCATTGGAAGCAGAAGAATAAGAGATTTGACCCTCGAGAGGTAGAAGGGTTGAATAAAGAGCATTATCACTTGTTTCACGACGGAAGAAGGGTTAAAGTTGCTGAGGAAGACATTGATTTTTATATGCCTTGTTGATGCAATACATTATGTTCCAAATGTATGTATTTTTTTTTCTATGCCACCGAGGTAGCACTCGTACCAACAAATGCCTGCAATATCAGAGTGCAGAGGGGTCGCTTTTGTTATCGACCCTTCAAAACGTTGGGTTTTAAGGGGTAGTTTCATGGACAGTGAAAGGAATGAGTTGCGATGTATGGGCTGTGCGGTATTTTTATTTATTTATTTAATATGCTTCATGCACAAAACGTACAAATGGGTGGACTTAATGCCGCAAGCATTTCTACTAATCTGACCTTTAATATGTACCTACATAATTTCCTTCAAATATTTCACATCTGTCTTAGGCTAGGGAAGTATTAGTATAGTAGGGTCCTTCACACGGAGTCCCAGATTTTATCTTGGAAGAAAATTATAGCTTTACCTTTTAACTGGTCAATAGCTGTTGTCCGCGGCTATTTTAATTGATTTTTCAATCTCATGCAAAATCTAGAAAAACATCCTAAGATACTTGGGCGGAAGTGTAACTAGAGCAGGGGTAGTATAAGTCACCCGGGTTATGAATCCCAGATATATAGGTCTTCGCCCAGACTGGGGAAAGCGCAATAATAAAACGTAGATCCATGTAAATATAATCATATATTTATTTATATAATATCTTACATCTATTACAATATTGTAGCTGCTGTATCATATAGACACCTATTGCTAACATAATAATAAACATTACCTAATGCATTTGATATTAAGAACATCAATTCTAAAATTCATAGTAATAAAGACTATTTTTGTATGTATCGACATTTGCGCAAAACACGAAACTTTAGCGCATCTTTGCGCAAATATATCTTAGAAGATTTCATTGTTGAAAAGGGTCGTAATATCAAATGATTTAGATTATATTAAAATTCAAAAGATATATTAATTAATGTTTTGGAAACGTACTAAAACTTAATTTATAATGGTAAACAATCTACTGCTAGTCGGCTGCGATTAGTACCTTTGAATATATGCTACGCGAATTATGTATTTCATATATTTATGTACAAGTCAGGCAACTTATTATGCTCTATTATAGTCAGACCGAGAAATGAAAAATTAACCACAGATTTTATTGCCTTATTTTCTCTATAAGTCATCAAGACAGAGCTGCAAAATGTTATTTGTAATGCCTAAGAAAAGGGAATCATGTGATCTTGACTTCAATTTGATTGATTTCGTGATCTGACTCGCAAATGTGTCATTTAATTATATTATCAATCATTTCATGTACTCAACTACTGTCGAAACACAAATGAAAAATAACCTAATTGTCTCTTTTCAGCAAAATACAGAATATGGAAATCATTGTCACTACATAAAAATAATTATGCTACTAAAATTGCAAGCCATACGGCTTCATAGCCCGCTATATTATATTATGATCTCTATTTACATGTGCTTTAAGTTCATACTTGGTAGGAAAAATAGATTTACAAATTCTACAGCAGAATCTACCGCCGTGGCTTAATCTCATGTGTTTTCTGACTTTGAAGGCCGAGTAGAAGTACTGCCCACATATTTGGCAGCCAAAAGGCTTCACTCCTATATGTTTCCTAACATGGATCACCAATTGCTTCCTACTCTTAAGAGTTTTGTTACAAAATTCGCAAATCTCCTTCGACGGCATACTGTGCACTTTTTTATGACACTTCAAATTATTCTCCGTGTAAAACTGCCGATCACACATGTCACAACTATAAGGTTTAATTTGCAAATGTATTTTATTCACATGGAGCGAAAGTTGATTATCGTTTGGACATTCTTTTTCACAGAAGCTGCACGTTTGGGTGCGATTTCTAGTGAGAAGTTTCAGTTTGCCAGAGTGTCTTTGAATGTGGCTTTCGTAATGTGCTTGTGTTGTGAACACTTTGTTGCAGAGCTCGCACGGCTTTATCCTATGTGTTTGTTCATGATCTTGCAACTTATCGATATCAGTGTAATTTCTACCGCAAACTTTACATGTCATAAAGAAGCTCTCTGGCGCCATATGCGTTACCTTCCTATGTTCAAACAACAGGAACTTAGACCTGTATACTTTACCACAAATCTTGCACTCTACCTTCTTATTCACATGTTTGACAACGTGTCTCTTTAAGAAATAATCCGATATGAAGTGTTTGTTACACAAAGGACAGGTGTATTTAACAGGGACCTTTTTGACTTTTTTCCTTTTGTTAAACGTTAGAAATTCACTACACACGTCCACGGAGTATTTAGTGCTTTGATTCTGTATACCATTAACTAATTTCTTCTTCATGTAAGTTTTAGTTGCGGTCCTAGCTAAATTGTCAATTGGTACTATTGGAATATTCACTGCGATATCATTCGCGGTATCTTTTGATTGCTCGCTTGTTTCAGGTATTATTTCAGGTTCAGTCTCACTTTCACTTTCAGTTTTCAGTCTGAATTCGTCTTCTAAGACGTCTATTTTGAGTTTACTTTCGTCAACAAATTCGCTTTCTTCTATTAATTCGTTAAAATCTTCTATAGGAGCCATTATAGGCGGGGGTGAGACTTGTACGAAGATGTTGGCTGAAGGCTCTATTTTACTAAGGTCCCTCAACATAAGAGTAACACATAGATCTAACCGTTCCCTAGTAAAAAGAAATTGTTTTATAAAAACATATGAAGTGATAGCGTGATTAAGGCACTTTTCGCATATTTTTGTCCCAATGAAGTTGTGTAGGTAGTTCATCTGCAACAAAAAATTGTGTGTTAAAAATGTAATTTTGAAAATTAGTTTTGTTTTGGGTTAGTATGGAAATTAGAACAAACCTGTTGCAGGGACAATAATAGACGATTTAGTGTTTCGAGTTTGCTATCTTAGCGTTAATTTAGAAGGTTCTAGTAATAATAGAACATTGGTTTTTTATTCATATTATGTGTGCAATCAATGTCAATTTAACCGTTTTTCGGAACTTCTTTCCAATTGATTTATTTAATGCCCTATTCATTTTGTGCCTGTCCCACTAATGTTATCAATTTCTTTGGCTTTCTTCATAATTATCATCTAAACATTTATATTTCCAACGCCTAAATAATTTCCACAGATCATGGTTTGAAACCTAATACTGAATATTTTCAACTGAGATCATTCTTTTAACTTATCCATAATAATAATGATACGAATAAATGACGTATTACATCTAATTCTATGACAATAAATAATGTGCGTCAATCTTATACAATTATGTATAAAGCTTACAATTCTACTTTTTTATTTATGGAATGCCTTTGGTATGGTCCTAACCGCTTTCTTGATTTTTCTGCCAGTTTTAGCACATTGTGTGGGGGTGGAACCAATATTGAACTGAATGTTGGTTCTAACAAATGGCCCAATATTTGGAGCTAACATATCCATTGGTATTGGGTTAAATGTTGGAATAAATGGCGTAGACAGTTCTTCAACTTCCATTTCTTCATTTATTGTGTTTGAAATATGTTTGTCCGTCTCAATTTCAATATCCATACTCTGGGTAGTGATTATATTTTTATTTTCAACAATTTGTAGTTGAATATTCTGTTGTATAGCCACATTTTCTCTCTGTACTACAGATGGCTTTTCAACTTCTATAATTGGTTTCAGTTCTTGTTTTTTGGTCTCTTTCTTTTCAGGTTTCATTGGCAAAAAGGTTTTGTTATATCCAAATAAGATTTTGGTGTTGCCATTTTCGTTAAATCTTTTTGATTCACAGCAGACGCAAGTGAATCTATCTCTGGTTTTATTTATCAGACAAACTTCGCATTGCCACATATCTATTTTGTGTTGATTGGGTTTATTTTCTGGTTTTTCTTCTATCACTTTGTTTTTATCTATTGAAGAGATTATATTGTTATTATCCATAGCACTATGTCCTAAATCTCGGTTTTCTTCAATAGCTGTTTTCGAATTAATTTCTTTCACCTTCTTGCAGTTTTCACATTTATTTGGTTTGAAAATCCAACAAATCTTGCACTTTTTAGTAGGGATGTCTTTAGTTTCATTTATTTCAATATTTGTTAAAGTTTTGTATTCAGATGTTTTAGAAAATATCCAAGACAAATTATTCTTCACTTTTGGGATATTATCAGAATATAAGGTTATTTCTTCAGTGTTATGGATATTGCCTGGGTCTCCGGGGTTGCATCCAGTTTCTAATTTCCCACTATCATTAGCTTCCAAAATTACAGGTTTTGCAAATTTAAACTGTGGGAGTTTTTCATAAGCTTTCTTTTCCAATGCCTTATCAAAATATCTCGGATTATCGTTTTTAGCTTCTTGATCAGCATCTGTAGCTATTTCACTATCAATTTTATTGTTGTTGTCATAAGATTCAAATTTATCATTGGCATGCTCTGTAAAACTGTCTATGGATTCTGTGTCATGACTTTCGATGCTAGAATCAGATTCTATTAACTCATAGAGATCATCATCATTCATTTTGTTCATATTAGCATTAATTGTGCTCATCAATCCTTGGTCTGATTCATCATCAGTTATTAATTCATTGTCATTATCATTTAATTTATCATTAATATTACTATTTCTGGCTTCATCATCAATTACCATTTTATTATTATTTTCATTCTGATTCCTGTTATCATTATTTACAGAATCATATTCATCTATTTCTATAATCTTCGGTTTTTTAGTTACATTAAGAGTAGAATCTTCTGGTTCACAGAAGACATAATAATAGAAATCGTCAGTTTTGAATTTGTTTCTGTAAACTATTTCTGGTAAGGATAACTTGTAAGATATAGTTTCAATATTAGTTTCAGGAATTTCATTATGTTTTCTTTTTCTTTTGGAAATTGTCATTATATTGGCTGTATGGGGCACATGCAGTTCTTGGTATTTGTATGATTTAGGCTAGAAAAGGAATCACTTCTTACAGATGGTACAAAACAAATTATAAGCACCAATCTACTGATATTCGTGTCATCTTGAAGCTTTTCATTACATTGTGACATATATTTTGTTGCATTATTAATGAATTTAATATTAATTGACCATGAAGTACACAATGAATTTGATAGAAATATTATAAAGAACAAAATCATGCATTGATTAGTATGTTAGTTTTTTTAAGTGTTAGAAAAGATAAATAAGGTATACTTACATCAGGTAAAGTTGACGATAACACAGTATACAGTGACTTATCACCAATCAACTCTGGACATGCCCCGTGAATGGATACTTCATTATCCAAATTAACCAAATCAGTACTTTTCTTGAGACAAACCAAGCATAGTTGGTCCGTTTTCCGTTCAACCATATACCGCATTACGGTTTTGAATTTATGCTTTTCTACGTGTTGCAGATGTTGTGCGTAATCATCTGTGACATTACCACATTCTTGGCATCGGAAACTCTTGTCTACCTGTGGACTGTCGTCCTGTCCTTTTACATGTATTAAATTAAAATGCTTTTTCAACTGGGTTTGTTTAACAAAAGACTTGCCGCAGAGCCGACAATGATACCACATGGATTTAGGATGAGTTTTATCATGGTTCAACAATGATTCCATGTCCGGAAGGACTTGCCAGCACCGTTTGCATTCAAACTCATTCCAATCCGGTTCTTTACTCAAAGATTCAGTTTCTATGTTAATGATATGGTGTGCTGGTTCTGCATAATCCATTACTTTTGCATTTTCAACATATAAAACATTGTAATTCGGATTTAGTTTTTGTCTGCCTCTCTTTTTCGGTCTATCTATGGGATCTAACTTACTCAGTTTCTCATCAATATCATCAAAACAATTTTTCAAAGCTCTTTCAGCTTGCTCACACTGCTGCGTAAAGAGATATGCATTGAGAGCTCGGTCTACACATTTCTGGCATATTTTTTCTGGATATTTTTCATCTTCATTGGCCTGGAACAATTTACTACACTTTGTAATAAATGCAGAATGTGCAGTTGGAAGTCTACACTAATATAGTAGTAAAAAATTAAATATACAACACAACTGGGTCAAAAGTCAATGACCTACCTTATAGGGGTAGAAACTGGCTATCATTTGTCTCAGAGACACTTTGTACAGCGCTCCTGTGCCAGCTATATGCATTATCTGATCCGGGTCAGACAACGCAGGCGATATTTTGAGGCAGTAACGACATACTTCTGTCTTTAATTTACCACTCAACAAATATTCCACGGCAACCTTAGTTGTCAACGGTTCACCAGGATAGCACGGTTTTGGAGGCGGCTTAGGAGGTTCAGCTACATCCTCAGTCACTGATGGAGTTTTCAATAACTTCTTGAATGGCTTGGAATATGTTTTCTTAGCGTTAGAAGGGCATAATACCGGGAAAATATCGTCGTCCATTATTTAGGTTATGCGATGATTATTCGTTTCCTTATTATTATCAGACAATACTTCATAATAAAAGCGCGGATAGATTTATGAACACTGCAATGTTTTACAATTTAAAGGCTGTTTTATATGGAATATACGAAGCAGAATTATTTTCGATGACACTCCAAGAAGTGCGAAAATGGCGGAAAGAGTAGAGCGTCGATGTCAATTGTCAACCAAGTGTCAGAGTGTTTTTTACGTTCTATGCATTTATTTATTTCACATCACGAAAGACAATCATTAATTTGTAAGTTTTTATCAAACACGAAAAATCCATTTTTGTACGATTTAGGTTTTGATTTTATTTGCTATTAGAAATCACTACATTCGCCACTAAAAATATTTATTCGTCATAAGTTGATATCGTGAGGAATCTGCGTAAGCTGGAACGTTTGAAGAGGTTTGTTTCTGCAAAGGCACTACATGTGTATAATGAAAAATAAAAGAAAGTAATAAATAATCAAATCACCTATTACCAACAAAATCAATTAAAAATGATTGTATATGGTGTAAATCATTACAGTATTTTTTATTTCAGTAGAAAACACTATTTTAAATTATCAACACATTAGTAGAAAACTACCACACCTGCTTACGGCAACACTGGGACTAAATTACAGAAACGTCAAAAATGGGACATTAAATTTTTCTGCTGTAGCTAATTTTTCCTGAAAAATAATCATTCACAAAAAAATCCGGATTCGTCATCATTGTGAGATTGAAATCCTGTGTAAGAAGGACTATTTTTGTGTTAAGTGCTACTCAGTGTGGACAGTTATGACCTGTTTTCATTTATGGTGTAAGGAATAGGGGCATCAATACTTTGCTAACAGTGAGTATAAAAAAGCTGAGACTTCGTCAAGGCTAGTTCTCGTAACTTAATTATTAATTATCTGTTTGGATGATATCACGATTAGTTCTTTGAACTCTATTTTCGTGATGTAATGTGAAATTTGAATGAATAATGGTTCCTTTGGATTTGTAAAGTTATTTTTAGATGTTAGAGTACGCAATTACAGCTGGGTTTGTTTGTGTAGTGTTTATAGTTTTAGTTATTTAAATTTGGAACACTCAAAGGATTCTCTTTGATTGGTGAGTGAAGTGGTAGTCAAGTTTACTTCCTGTTGATTTATTTATAATATCTGTAAGTGTTCTTTCGTTTTCTTTACTGTGTATTGCTTTGTATTGTATATTTTACAGCAGCAATATAAAAGCTTTGTGTTTCTAGTGAAGGTAAGAGTGTGGTTTAGACAGCTTAGTTTATTCTCTTATAGCTACAAATTATAATTGTCTTATTATTGTCCTCACAATTTCCAATGAATTATTACCCTTGTTATTGTTAGTTGCAGATAAGAGAGTGAGAGAAACTTTTAAGTTGATTTCTATGTATAGTTTAATTTACATTGCATCTCTATAAAAAAGGACTAAAAAAATACAGAACCATAAACCCAGTTCATTCAAGAAGGCCTTCTACATAAAGTACCTTTGTCACCAATAAAAAAAATTAAAGGTACCATAAACACAACTATGTTCACACACATCCTTACATAGAGACACAAAACAAATATATGCCTAACCATAATCTACTGTGTACATATTAGTACATAACTACTGACCATATAAATTAAGACACATGACATCCATTTTATTAATGATAAATTGTTTATTGCTGTTATCTACGTAGCTTATGTACTGCTGAAGACCTATTAGTATCGCTGTTAACTTGCTCCTAATTGTAGATTATTATAAAAATTATGAGTCTTTCTTTCAATTTAATATAATATTAAATTGAAAGAAAGACTCATAATTTTACTTTACTATTTTACTCATAAAAGACCAAGTAGGTAAATAAGAATAAGCTAGCTATATGTTTAATTGATTTAGTGTGTTACACAAAATTATATTTCCTTCATCATTTTGTCCACTAAATACTGGACATCTTCTTTTATTCTAAATGCTTTGATAGTTAAGAAGATGAGGAAGCAACAAACACTATTTTAGCAACAAACACTATTTTTCATTGATCATCTTTCCCTAATTACCTACTTATTTCTTTTTACTTTGCTCTAATAAGTATTTTCTGCTCTACCTTAATACAATAATTATTATTGAATAGAAAAATAATTATTCAAGTGAAAATGTCCATATGAAGTCAGCTCTCAAAATGAAAACAAATAATTTATTGCATGAATTCCTTAATAAACCACTTAACAGGTAAATTTTGTTAGTAAACATTCCTTTCTGTACTGTGGATTTGAATTAATAAATTCCTGAACCTGTATTCAGTGCCGTCTTTACCATAAGGGCTTTCGGGGCCCGTGCCCAGGGCCCCCATACTCAGAGGGCTCCAATGGACCGACAATTTATACGATGCACATACCCCCTACATGTTGCCATTGATTCCCACATGGAGCAAATCTTTGTATGCGCCACAAATAGGGAGTTGTTTTGGGTTGGGGTTCAAAAAACAAAACAATAAACATTTGAAAAGGGCCTTGAATTTTTATGTGCCCCAGGTCCACAGCGTAGTCTTAAGACGGCCCTGCCTGTGCTAGTACTTATAATAAAGAGGGAATTTAGGTAATTTTGTTTAATTTACTAAGCAAGCTTTAGTTGAATAAGTAGCGAATCTACTGGCCTAATTTTGAAAAGACAGAGTAAAAATAATTTATTTCTCATTTTCTAACATAGACGACATCACTACATATTTTTTTTTTTTTTTTTTTTTTTTTAAAAACGTTGCCCCACACTAGGATTTTCTCCTGTGTCGTGGGTGCGTTTACAAACATACAAGTTCACATACACAATGACACCCAGACCCGAAACAACAATTTGTGGATCACACAAAGTGTTGTTCCGTGCGGAAATCGAACCCGCGACACGTTGCACGGCAGCCGGTTGCCCAGCCACCGCGCCAACCGTGCAGTCAATATTATAAAACAAAGTCGCTATCCTCCATCTGTCTGTCCCTATGTACTCTTAGATCTTTAAAACTTAATAGATATAGTGATTCTTAAGGAAGGTTTATGTGCATAATACATGCATATTGCACCCGTTCGAAGCCGGGGCGGGTAACTAGTTAGATATAAATTAAAAATGGAATCTTTTAATTCTTTGATAAACAATTAACTTAGTTACACATTAAAATTATCCTCATTTCAATTTATTCACTGTTATTATAAAGTTTATTAACTTGTTATTGTGTTATTTATAGCTTCAATAACTAGTTATTTAACATTCAGAATTATTTATGCATTCACTTGAACATTGTTGGAGGAGCCATAGACCAAACAATTGTTATCTTAATCTATGCTAGTGTGACGAATAGCTAAGAAGAGTTAAGGTACCTAGGTATAGTTATTTAGACAATACAATGAGATTTATGCATAATGTATGTAACAGTGAGTGTAAAAATATATGTTTTTATAATAACTATCGCGAGACATACTAAATTAACTAAAAATCGCAGAGTATTTATGTGGAAATACTGAGAATTCCTATACTAGTTCCCTTCCTTTTCGTCACGAGCAGCAGCAGGTAGAATCCCTCTGTGGTTCGAAACTAGTAGAGCTTTTCTCTGAATTTTCACGCTGAGTATATTGTGTAAAAAAATTGTATGATAAGGGCACGGACCAAGAGTTCGTGGAGAATAATATTTAATATTGAAAAAATATATATTATACATTTTGGATCTTTTGTTGACATTTCGTGAACTTGCGGGTGTCCATGGGTGGCGCTGATCGCTTACCATCAGGTGATCCGTCTGCTCGTTTGCCTCCTATTATCCATAAAAAAAACTTTAATTAGGAAGTCTTAAGACGAAGAATAAAAGAAAGGTCTTAACCATACCATAACCATAGAGTAGGCTGCATAGAAATTCTCGCGCGCAAACATCATCAATACGTGCGTCATGTTATTTTGTAAAGATTTTTGTGGAAAGACATTTTAATTGATTTCTAAACCTACTAGAAGTGTTATAGTTCAAATAAAATCATTAATAACTTGTCACAATGTAAATAAACGTTTCTGTGGCTTTCCCGAATTCTTCCGTAGATTGACAAATTAGTTCCTATCAAAACCTTTCGTACGAAATGTGGTAGGCTAACAGATAATTTAGATACATAGGTAATTTTCTAGAATGTTCGATAAATGGAACCAAACTTTTTATTTATGGCATAAGCCGGTAAACGAGCTGAAGGATCACCTTATGGTAAGCAATCAGCGTCGCCCATGGACACCTTGAATACCAGAGGCGTTACAAGTGCGTTACTGGCCTTTTGTGGATTAGGAGTTTGAGGATCGTTGGGGATTCAGGGATTGGGGAGATTGGGGAAGGGGAGGGTAATTGGGCCTCCGGTAACCTCACTCACACGACGAAACACAACGCAAGCGTTGCTTCACGTCGGTTTTCTGTGAGGTCGTGGTATCACTCCGGTCGAGCCGGCCCATTCGTGCCGAAGTATGGCTCTCCCACACTTTAAACCACACAAACTTTCATATTATTATCTTTTTTCATGTTTCTGAATCATTTGTTTTGACGCCATACTTCTTCGTCCTCAATTCCGTAAATTACAATAAAAAGTAAATAAATGATTCTCAGAAGATTTTCCTCATGAGTGCCTTGTCTACTTGAATACAAATTATTATTAAGTATTAATACAAAGTATTCAAGTAGACGTATATTGATGAAAATTGTAGGATGAAATTCGTTGTAGCTTTATAATTGTTTACTGCGATAAGAAATAGGTACTAAAAATATCGAAATTATTACTGTAAGATCACCAATGTCTTTAAACTGTTACCAGCTATTGATTAACGTGTGCAGTACTGCAGTCACAATCCTTTAACATTTCGTTGACCTAACTGCGATCTCCATACCGATTCATAAGCGCGGTGATTATTAACTACAAACTTCATAACACATACCATAACATCACGCCTTTTATCCCCGAAGGCTACCCCTTTTTGCATAGATGCACATTACGGCACTCCACTGTATAACGTAACACCCACTTTTCAGTTTTCCCTATTTATGTTATGAGTCCCATGTAATAGAGGGTGAGCCATTTACCATATACCGGACACAATTCCTCCGTCCCACTACTGAATTTTTTTTAAAAAACCCTTTACTTTACTTTATACTTTGCCCAACCCGGGAATCGAACCCGAGACCGGACCGGAGGTCGCACTTGCGAGTAGGCCAACGAAGCAGTCAGCACCTCATACCATATTACAAGTAAAGATGATTCATATCAAAATTGGTTCAGTAATTTCGTAAGATAAAACACACAGACGAGCTTATATCATTGCTTTGTCTACATTACGGTAGAGGTCAGACATTTGACCTCAAATATCTGACTCATTATTACATTGGAAACAAGTTAAACTTGCCAAAAGTTAAATAACCAAAAGTGTTAATCAGATTACTGATTTACGATTATGACTCTTACAGTGTACGTAATAAAGGTGATGTAAAGTTGTTGCCTGGTACAATATTGACTGTTTTAATTCAAAAGGAAGTGAAGAGCTCTGTCAGTGTTAATAGCAATTCGATGTTTAATAGTTAACTTTATTTCCTAAGTTATAAGAGTGTTTTTCAGTTATCATTGATCCTGAATCGAAGGTTGATGAAGCTGTGAATCTACATTTTTCTAGAACAATCAGAGACAGGAATCTCCTTCTGTCATGCTTCAGCCACAAACTCGTAACTCCATACTTGAAAGATTCCTATTAAAATATTATTCTAAATACATTACTCGGCCCAGTAATCGAACCAGAGACCGACAATATTACAAATGGACCAATTAATAAACATGCGGGCAGTCCCTATTC